TATTTTTTAGATAAAATAAGAACCTAATTAAAAAATATATAGATAAAGAGATATTACAAAAATTATCTCTAAATATATAAAAACCAATTATATTATTATTCTCGTGTTAATCCAGATCAAGTATTTTCATCTTAAATTCAAATCCAATCTAACTTAACTCGAATTTTAAAAAAATCAAACGATAAAATCGGATTATAGCAAAACCTGTCGGGTTTGGCAATGGGCCTTGGCCCGAACCGAAGTCGATTAAGAAGATCATATACTAATATCCTACATAAGCTCCGTTGCCGATTGGCTTACGTGGGAATAAATGATTCATTTGTTACACGTGGCATTACGTCCACTGCAACGGATATATCTTCAAAATTCAGCAGCATACAGTTACAGCTTCGATTTTAGTCTTAGATTTAGATTCAGATTAAAACAATATATATATATATATATATATATATATATACAAGAAGGAAAAGATATTCAATCATAATCACAGTTTGGGTTCTTGGATTGATGATAATGGTGCGTTTTGCGCTGCTTCTCTTCCTAGCATTCTCGTCAGTGCAGCTCCTCTGCTTCGCCGCTGATGGTGATGATGATGTGGTAATTATGTTCACATCGATTTCTTGAATCTGTTATTTTTTTTATAGAAAAAAGTGTGATTTTTGTTTGTTTGGATTGGCTATAGGTATTCTATGATTCATTTGAAGAGTCATTCGATGGGCGATGGACCCTCTCCAGTAAAGATGATTATGAAGGTGATTTCCTTTTTCATTTATGGATCTCGTCAGCGGAATAAATTGATAATCATCTTATAGTATTTTTTTCATTGATCGTGTCATTATTGTTTGAAAATGTTTATTTATTTGGTAATCTTATTTTATTGTTTGGCATTTTTATTATTCATTAGTACCGTGCAGCTGGTTATAGAACAAGTGAAGATAGTATCTGGATGGTGTTATAAATTGATTTTGCAGTTGAATTAGAATCAATGAAAATCCTCCTTGATAATGTGAAATTGCAGAAGCAAAATATGCAGTGAAGAAAGCTAAAATGATGGTTCATTATGGAAGTGAGAATAATGATACGATACTTTAATGATGTTTACGCCATGTCTTTGGTCCTGCTTTTTTAACATTGTGATGCATTGGCAATTTGATGATCTAATTCTTCTGTTGTCGGAAATTTTGTTTTTTGCCATTTCGAGTCGGAGTTTGAGGTTGTCGAAACCTGTGGAAGTATCATGTTTTTCTTAAGGACATTATTATATAATCTCCGTGGGCCTATTTGATGTTTTTTGGGGTGACATTCATATGGATGTGGTTTTCTGGGTTGCAGGTGTATGGAAGCATTCAAAGAGCGAAGGGCACGATGACTACGGGCTTCTCTTGAGTGAGAAGGCACGGAAGTATGCAATAGTGAAAGAGCCTGATAAGCGGTAAGGATGGGACCATTGTGCTTCAATTCGAGACTCGCTTCCAGAATGGACTCAAATGTGGCGGTGCATATCACCTCAGAGGTCCGGGTGGAAGCCTGAGGACTTTGACAATGAATCCCCTTACGCTATATGTTTGGACCTGACAAATGTGGTCTAACAAACAAGGTGCACTTCATCCTGAAGCATAAGAATCCTAAAAGTGAGGAATATGTTGAACATTATCTTGGTAACCCACCGATCATCCCATCGGACAATCCTGGAGCCAGATGATAAGAAACCCAAGGACTGGGATGATGATGCCAAAATTCCTGACCCGAGTGCTATGAAACCAGATGATTGGGATGAGGATGCACCTATGGAAATTGAAGATAAGGAGGCTGTAAAACCGGAAGGATGGTTAGACAATGAGCCTGAGGAGATAGATGATCCCGAGGCATCCAAGCCGGACGATTGGGATGATGCAGAGGATGGTGAATGGGAGGCCCCAAAATCGATAACCCAAAATGTGCAGCAGCCCCTGGTTGTGGTGAATGGAAGAAACCGATGAAGCCAAATCCAGATTATAAGGGAAGATGGAATCCTCCTCTAATTGACAACCCCACTTACAATGGTATTTGGAAGGCTTGGGATATCCCAAACCCCAAATACTTTGAGGTCAACAAGCCTGACTTTGAGCCTATTGCTGCAATTGGTATTGAGATTTGGACCATGCAAGACGGTATATTGTTTGACAATATTTTGATAGCAAAAAACGAGAAGGTTGCTAAGTCATATCGGGATACACAATGGAAGCCGAAATTTGGGATCGAGAGGAGAAAACTGAAGGCTGAAGAAGCCGATGGTTCAGACGAGCTTGAAGGTTTCCAGGTAATGTATTTGCATGCTTTCTTGTTATTCAAGATTTTATTGTTATTCAAGATTTTATAACTTAAAGTTGGTTATACCTTTATTGCAGAAGAAGGTATTCGATATCATATACAAGGTTGCTGATATTCCTTTCTTAAGCGCATACAAACTTCAAATCCTCGCAAGTTTCTGACTTTCTGTAATATGTAACATGCTTTTTCATATGCAAATTAATATTTCAATCAGCGGATATCATCGAATAAAACGTCGAGTGTTTTTCTTTTAGGATTTCATTGAGAGGGCTGAGAAACAACCCAACATCATCATAGGTCTCCTGGTCTCAATTGTGGTGCTCTTTGTCACGGTTTTCTTCATGCTCATTTCTGGTGGGAAGAAACAAGTGAGTTTTTCGAACACGTAGTGCCTTGTAACTGTGTTTTCGTTTCTGTTTGAATTACTTATTCGATAAACGGTGGGTGCAGCCAAGAGTTGAGAAAAAAACAGAGGTCGCCGAGACTTCAACCGATCAAGGAAGCAGTGGACAAAAGGAAGCTGGAGAGGAAGAGAACAAAGAAACCGCTGGTGCTCCCCGTCGGAGGAGGCGTGAGACTTGAAACATGTCGAAAAAAAGAAGAGTGTTGCTGGTGATCATCAGTTCCACTTTTGGGCAAATTTTTTGCTATTTAGGTTGGTATTTGTTGATTTTTTGGTTTCACTCCCGAATGTGCAGAGGTATGAAGGAAAGAAGAGTGTAAATGAGACGTTTTGTTGTCACTGCCTAAGCACAGTTTGAGCATTTGAAGTTTATTTATGAAATGACTGCCAGAGCATGGCTTTTGTCAATTGACTTTGAGCAACCCGATGGATGGTTGTTGAAATTTCCCCCAGTAAATTTCGATTCCCCCAGTAAATTTCGACAATAAATTTCTATCTGACAAGGTTTGTTTATACCAGAACTTTTGGAAAAGAAAAGAAAAGGCAAAAGTACTAAAATCTGGATTAAATTTTGTAATTAAACATTTTACTGCATATAAATTATAAATTTAGTCATTATACTATAATTTAATTAAGGGTAAAGTATATAAATAGTTCTTGAACTTTTAGGACACTTGCATTTTGGTCACTCAACTTTTGAAACTTGCAATACAATCATTGAACTTTTAGTTCTTTTTCAGTAAGGTCTCTGTTGTTACCTCGCGTTAGTTTTAGCTGACATAGCACTTAACTCTCGTTAACCCCCTCTTCATCTTTTTTCTCTCACCCTACCTCCAGTCACTCACCTCCCTCCGGTCAGCGGTGGCTCACACAGCCATCACCATCGTCACCGACATCGTCTCCCGACCACACCCTAACCCTCGATTCATACCCACCATCCACCGTTCGTCTCAAATCGTGAGAAGACCGTTTGAACACCCATCTCCGATCTCTATCTTCAGTCGCCGATAACTGTCATTGTCGGTACCAGTTGGAGCGCTGCCCCATTCTGGCAAAAACCCTGCTAGCCACTCGCTAAGACTCACCTCTGTTAGCCATGGAGAGGCCCCAAATCTCATTGGAAAACCCCAACACCCCTTTTTCTATTTTCATCAATTTTTGACCGATTGAGCCGTCCGTTCGCCACACTACCACCACTGTTGGAGTCCTCACATCGTTCCGACCAAAACCCAATTAATCATGCCTCCTCCTCGTTGTCCCTCCTCCGTCCGCCGTTGGTTAAGAAGAAGTAGAAGAAGCAACAGAAGGAGGGTTAACGGGAGTTAAGCACCACGTCAGCTAAAACTAACGGGGGTAACGATAGGGACCTTACCGAAAATGAACTAAAAGTTCAATAATTATATTGTAAATTTCAAAAATTGAGTGACCAAAATGCAAGCGCCCTAAAAGTTCGAAGACTATTTATATAGTTTACCCTTTAATTAATTTTAATTTTCATGTTTTCAAGATTTTAAAATTTCAATATTGAACTGTATAAAGATAATATAATTAAATTTAATGATTTAAAATAATCAAATTAACAAAAAAAAATTAAATATATTATTTACCTGTTTTGTTGACAAAATATTATGGGTTCATGAAAAAGAATATTACGAGTTATTATAGGTTGTTGACCAAAAATATTATGAGGTTAGCTATGAGTATATGATAAAGTTTAGATTTTTCTTTATTCCATTAAAAAAACAGAAATTTATTTTATTCATAATCTTCAATGTATCAGAGAAAATAACGTTTGCAATTACAATTTGACAAGTGACAATCAAACGATGAATGAGAAAACTATATATGAGATTTGGAATGATTGTGAAGCTTGTAATAATCCAGCGGCCATCTATATTTTAAAGGATCTAATAGGTCACGGTTGAACCAAACATGTGATTGATAGATATTTTATTGCAGAGAAGATAATGTATGATAATCAAATATAATATTTATCACTTGCATCTTGAAATGAATACTTTGATGTCTTCTTTATGTTATCAATTTTAATAATTTGATATTAGAATAAGTTTGAAAATGAACTTCCCTAAAAATTTCGAATTCTAGCATTTGCGTATGCGGAATATATACATTATAAAGTTAAAAATTCCAAGTCTTCTTAACCACTATAATAACCATGTAACCATGTAAATTGCCGGCGAATACACCGGCGACCGTATATATGTCAATCACTACACTAACCACACACACACACGTACTTATAAAGTTAAAAATTCCACACTAATAACCATAAAGTAACTCTTCTTAACGGTGGGAAAAATTGTCTAATGTCTCCCTCGCATGGAAACAGAACAGAAACGCGACAGTTCACCTTATTTAAACATGTTTAAAACAAATGTCAACCCCGCTACCAAAAAAAGTCAACATTTAAGCAATTTTACGTTGAGAATCTCTTCTAGATATTCTTTAACTACTACTACTACTACCTATAACTAAAAGAACTCAATTGGGGTAGTCCCAAGTGTATTCTTTTTGGGTTTACCTGAAGCGATAAAATATATTTTATCGCTTGGCAGCCCCGGTCTTCTTAGCAACGGCTGCAGAAAGTGGAGGGAGATCTTCATCATCATCCGACCCCACATCTCCATACTGCCAAATCCCGCGCCTAGCAGTTTTTGCCTCCTTCTGGAAGTTCTCTAAATTGTCGATCACCGATTTTCTGTCCCTGGATTCCGATCTCTTCCTTTTTTCTAGCCTAGCTAGTCCCTCCTGAAACAGTGACCAAGCAGTGAATAAATTAGATACGAGCATAGTACAATAATATGCCCTACATGTCCTACTCAAATCGTTCAAACCTGTAGTATTGCGGCATTAATGCTAAGGTCCGACTTCTCAGCAACGAGAGTTACAATGAGGACGGTGCCAGTCCCTTGTCCCTTGACTTTACCACCAGAAACATCCCTTTCTTCTATCATAGCAGTAAACGGCAGCGAGCTCCCCAATGTCTGCTCGCTCAAAAACTGAGCGGCCTCAGTACCAAACTCATCATCGAGGCTTGGAACTTTGAGAAATGCAAGACTGCACAACTGAGCAAGCCCAGGAGATGCTGCTACTGAAGGATCAAGGGGTCGTAATTGACTGTATGGGACCTCCTCTTGATTCCCATAATCAATATAAAACACTTCAAACTTGTCATTTGGAGATTGAACTCCTCCTCGAGGTGCATTGACAATCTTCACAAGCCAAAGGAGAAATACAAAAACATGTCAAATGGAATACAGAGACGCATAACAAGCAATCAAGCAGGCAAGCCACCCCCAAAAAATTTAAAATATAAACCACGTTTCCAATTATCTTGTCATCAATTTTGAATATTTAAAAACAGAGCTCGTCCTTCAGTCGGAATTTAAATCCCATTAGGGGGTTACAACCGCAAATTTTTAAGTAATGAGTTACATCTCAGCAGCAAAACCATATACGTTTGAGTCACGAGGAAGATTAGGAGCTTTGAAAGAACAAAATAAAACAAAAGCCTAAAGGATTGAAAATAAAGTAAATGGAACCAACCATTGCACGATTCCAGGAATCATCCATGCTAAACTGAGCGAGGACAATGTCACCCTTCTTAGGATTAAAAGAACCAATCAGAGGAGGTTCTTGAATATTTAAGGATGCAAGCTGTTTTTGAATAGCTGATACTCTCTGATCTCCCACTGTCTGGACATAAAATTTTCCACCACCCAATACTTCTGTAACAACCACCTGAAAATAACAAGAAAAATAATTCACCAGTTCATGATTATTAGAAGTACTGCTTAGTTGAGTTCCTAGAGAACCTGTAACAGTTCTTTTTGTTTGCGTTCGACAGCGGCTTGTCCGTTGGAGACTTCCTCTCCTTCAACATAGTTCTCCCAAATCTACAAATAGAAGCACAAAGATAAATAAACCCAAACAGTTTAATTAGCACTGCCAAAAGAATGGGGAAAAAAAAGATATGAACTGCTTCTTACTTTAAGCTTCTGCCTCTTGGCAGATTGCTCAGCCTGCTCAAGAAGATGAGCATCGGGAATTCTATCGTTTCCAAATGAAGTTTGCAGCTTAGCCAAGCCAGCCTCAAGGAGCGTCACAGCCATATTGGTTTTCGACTCCCACAAAGATCCCAAAAATGTTCCGGTTCTATCGACAGTTTCAATTTCAACCTATGTAGAAAAGTATACATTAAATAAAACAAAAAAAAAATGGAAGAGAAGCATTTCACAGAGAAAGACCGATACCACAACATCTCTCTGCATGATCTTTCGTCTCATCAGTGCTATGGCTTCATCTGAGTAGGGCTCCTCACGACCAGGACACCTGACACCAGAGAATGAAAAGGCAACACTACAAGTTTCCTTCGGGATCAGCAACTTAAAACGATGACCACTTAGGACATATTCCACAACAGATGGAATCCTGCCCCGATTCAAGAATGGCAGGAAATCTCTAGCTTTCTTGGCTGATGCCTGGCATTAGACAAGACATACATATATGTAAGTTGGAATTCAGACAAGATACGGAAATATTCCATCAAGAAAATAATTAACATAAAAGAAGAAATTGCTAACCATTGTAAGGTCTTGTATGTGCATTACTGGAGGATCCTTCGCAGAATGAAGGCCTTTCTTTCCAGAAATAGCACGGGATTCAGCAGACAGAAGGGCATCGTAATAGTTTGATCTTTCCTCAAAATCTCTATGTCTTATAACAGTGCCAAAGCCGCGCCCAATCACCAACTCTGCCACATTCAAGCCAGGCTGCTGGTTGCCCGCTGTGGATGGAGTTACTACAACAACCTCATCACCATCACCCTTGATAGGAGACATAAGGAAGACTGAGCCAAAATCCATTACCCTTGAATCTCCAGGTGCAGCAGCAGCAGCTGCAGCTCCATCTGCCATGGTGACCTTCCTGGTATATTCCATTTGTACGGTAACCTAACAAAAGCAAGTTGACAAATTGACGAATTATAATTATATGTTCAACACTACCACAATAAGATTCGAAAAAGTATCCAAACCTGTTTTCCAATAAGGCGTGTTCTTAAAAACTCTCTGGCTTCACGGGCATAAGCAGCTGGCTTTTCATCTCTACGAGGATTGCCCATTTTTGGACATCTAATGCTTGAAAGATTTACTCGGCGCTCGGCAAGAGGACTTCCATAAGGGATAGAATCATCAGCCACAACAATGCAGTCCCCACTAACAACCTCCACAACCTACGAAAAATTATACACCATAAACAATTACAAAAGCAAGAACTTGCTAATACAAATAACTTAAGAAATTAATTCTATTACCTTTCCTGTGAAATTTTGATCACGAATTGCCTTGGAGTTTGTAGCTGGTGGTACATAGTTTGTCCACATCCTCAGCCGAGCCTTCTTGGCTTGAAGTTCTGCAGACTTCAACCGTCTCTTGTTATCATCCTCCATCATATTAGCACTCCATTCAACATATTTTGCTAGACCCTTTATTTGAGAAGAAATGGTTAGGATGATAGATGAAGGGATGTGGAGAGGGAGAGAGAACTCAGAATATATCAACACAAATTCAAGAAAAGGATGCATGCATAGTTTGTTTCATAAGAATATATGGATGAAAAAAACTCTGCTAAGCAAAGAAACAGTTTTAGTTGTAAACCCAAGGAATTACATAATGAAGCATCTTTAAAAATGTCACAAACACATAAAAGTGGAAAAAATAATTAAGGAATAGGCATGAATGGAACATACTTATGAAGTATGTTATGTATAGTTATTAGGAAAGAGAAGGTAAGCCAGAGGGCTAAACCATGACATTCAAAGAAAAAAATTAACAATTTGTTTTAGAGGGCGGAAATCAAAGATTAAAGATATTTCAAGTTAATCTTGTAATCTTGTTTTATAAAATCTTTTAAAGAAGCATCATTTTAAAAAAAATAAGTTGATATTTAAAAGATATTTCAAGTGTACAAAATTATCTAGGAAGGAAACATGATCATATTATTATTATTATTATTATTATTATCATCATCAAGAAATTAATGTTTTGAAGGTATAAAAAAATTTACAAGCAAAAGCAGAACAAAAACTATGTCAACACAAAACATGAGTGCTGCAAACTATAATTCAGGAATAGTTCAATGTCGACATCATTAATTAGAATATATTTTATGGTCGAAGCAAAACAAAACCCAAGAACATACATTTTCCACAAGCTCCATAGCGAGGTCTTTCGCTGTATCACCTTCAGGATAATAAACTGACCCGATCAAATTGCTGAATTTGTCAACACCTTCAAGGACAATACGTACCTACAAAATCAACCTTGAATTTAGTCTACTATTCAAAATGAATGAACACAAGTCATCTTAAAATATTCATTATCTCACTTCTCTGTTCAGACAGCGAACTTCTGTAAAATATTTTGCTTCAGGTCCAAAGGGATCAGGGGAAACTTCAGCAGAAGCTGTCGACAAGGCAGCAAGCCTCTGTGCAGATGTTAAGGCAACCGGCACAGCTGAAACATCTCCATTTTGTTCATCTGAAGTAAAATCTGTTTCAACAACAGTTTCGGCAGCAGCCCTTCTACCCATTGATGGGGCCTAAATAAACAGGGTAAAGATATTAAAATGACAAACTCGAATGATAACCAAAAAAATTAATTAAAGGTCATGAATTAGATCTTGCACCTGGATGCCAGCAACAAAGACTTGCACAAACTGAAAATCTGGAAGTAAATAGACTCGAACAGTACTGCCATCGCGAACCTGCTCAACAATACCTTGCATTGGCCTGCCCTTATTTGCTTCTAGAAGACCCATGGCATCCAAGTTACTTGGGTCGCCAATGGCAGATGGAGGTAAATTACGTATAGAAGCCTCCGCAGCGCCAGGCACCTACATTCACAATTACAAGGACCATGATCATTTAAAAACTTCCCTTTGCTAGATCAGTGACTCAAATATATAATGACTTTCACAAAGGGGAAAAAGATTACCTTGCTCCATCGGCCCAAACCTTCTTGTTTGGCTTGTTCTTCAAGACGTAGCAATTCAGCAAGAAAAGGACTCGCTTCCCCTTTCTGCTGTCCTTGTTCCCTAACCTGTACAAGCAAGGCTCAGTCAGACTGAGTACAAAAGAAACATGGGCAGAAATCACCTTGTCCAAGTATTTTTACAAATCGAAAAGCAAATTACCTTTGCCCAGCCTCCAGAGACAACAAGCATTGCCACATTTTTGTCACCATCAAGATAAACAGACCCAAATTCTCGGCCTATGCTCGGTACTGTGTATTCAACTCTAAAAGTGACTTCCTGAGGACATAATAAATTAATTAGATCCACAAAACCTTCTAAACAATCAAATGCCATCTATAACAAGTAAAAACAATGACCAAATTAATTAAAAAGAAACAGACTTTTCCAATGCAGAGCTTCCTTAAATAATCTCTGCTGTCCCAGGCAAATGGCTCATCAACACCTCCTCTACGGGCCTATTAATGAGACAAAAAGGAAAAGCAAATAAAACATCAGCTCAAAGTTTTTATCAAAAGACATGCACCGGGAATTTTTATCTTAGATCTTGGCAATCATACAATCAAAACACATAACCCAGTAAAAACTCTCAAAAGCAACTCTTATCCAACAAAATCATTATCCAAACAAAAAAGTAAATTAATCGGTAAGAAAAAGTCAAACATGCAAATCATAAAATTTAATAGGAACCAAGCCAGAAGTAAACTCGCACTCGACTGAGCTTTACCAGTCTAGGAGCAATGAGAGATGCCAAGGTAATGGTTTTCTCAGGCGGAGGTCCAGGCCTGTTAGTGGTCAAAGCCGTTACCACCAAGCTATCACCCGATGGAACTGCTTTCACTCTCCCTTTGTACCATCCAGAGCCACCAGCTGCTGGTGCCGCCATCGTCAAAAGCTAAGATCTACACAAAAATCAGCAAACACTCCATTCACTACATCGGTATTTCTATAAACAAACAACAAACAAAGATACTTGCAAATTCAAAATAACACAATTAAAAAAATAATAATCCAGATCTGTAACATTGGATTAGTAACTTCATCAAAACGATTGAAAATCCATCGCTTAATCTTACAACATGATACATGCAACACGAGAACATCAAAATTTCAAAAACATAATCGATTCAAAAACTTGATCTGTTAATTTCTCAAACAAGAGCTACGGAAAAAACAAAAATAAAATCAGTGCATGCAAAATAAGATTAAAGCAATGCAAACGGAAGAGATCTAATACAAAATATGGAAAAACATCGGCACTGATATTTTTACCTGGATCAGCTGAGGAAAACTGAAGCCTTATTGATCTATCACAAGAATGGATAGAAATATCTTAATTAAGCTCCGTTTATTATTTTCTCAGTGTTATTCAAAGAAAATAAATAAATGAATCTTAAAAAAATGAAAAACACAAGAGCAGATACAAGATAGAGACGGCGATCGGGGAGAGATATAGGAGATCGTGTTAATAGGAGGGGCCAATATGTAAACAATGCGGTAGGCGATGTGGGCGATGAGTATTTATATACCCTCCTTTTTAGGAAAAATTACATGACTGACACGAAATTTACTTAAATTGACCGAAGTGACAGGTGAATTTCCTTTTTATTTAGCTTTCGGTAAATCGTAAATCGTAAATCGTAAATTTTATAATTTTTAGAAGTTTTCTGTTTTTATCACACTCAAATTTTACTTTTAACTTCATTAAAATTTTAATTTTTAATCTACAGATAACTTCAAACCAAACTTCAATTCACAGTTAAATCAGATTTAAATTTATTTATTTTTTCATATTTTTAAACTTTTAAATGAATCGTGTTTAAATAATTTTTAATTGAAATTAATAAATTTATTACTATTTAATTTTATGATTAAATTTACTATAATCTATTAATTAGTTATCAGTTCAATTAAAAAGTTTAATAAAATTATTATATTTTTTGTTATTTTATATTTATATAAATATTTAATAAATTTAATAACGTTCATTAATTGTGTTTTGAACTCATGACTAAAAACTCTCTCATATATGTCTTTTATCGCATCATTTATAATACTTTAAAACATTGTTTTATATAAATACAATTATTTACATTAAATGTTTTTTTAAGTATTTATATTATTATTTAATTCTTTGAATAAGTTTAATACAATCAATTAATATTATAAATAAAAATATTAAAATTTATTATTTATAATTCAAATTCATCACTAAAAACTTTTATACCCAAATCTTTTACCACAAAATCTGTAATATTTGGTAATTTTTTCATAAATGAAATTATATATATGAAAATTTCTTTTTAATAATATATCTATATTATTATTTAATTCAAACCAAACTCAAACGCTATATTGAAAATATCAAATACCAAATTATAGCCATATTAATTCTTTAAAAATATTTGATAATTTATTTTTTACTAACTATTTACAATTCAGCAAAATCAAAATTGAAATAATAAAATTAATATAAAAACATGAGAAATCCACTGACGAAATGGATACGATAACAGACAAAGTATCTCAGAAACTATCTTTGCCACGTGTCTTTAAAGAAAGGCAAAGGGCCACGACACTTGACTGATGAGTTTGATTGCTTGGTGGTATTACAGAAGGGAATAAAGCTTGTTTGTGAAGGGATGTGGATAAAGCCTACTTCTGCCCAAATTTGGTAACCAATACGAAAGCACAAAGATCTGATTCAGTGATTCCCCAATCAACCAATAACATTATCTTTACCCTCAACCCTAAATCATCTCACCGTCGATACGCTATTATTTCTTGCTTTTACTTCCAACGCCAGCGCCTGCTGTGTTCCCTCCGGACGCCGCCTTCTTTGCCTCCTTTTCTTGCAAGACCTTTGCATCTCTGCCCCCATTAATTTACGACAACGGCAAGCAGATGGCAGAGTTAGAAATACCGCCACCGGAGATCAACAGCAGGCAAATAGTGATAGACAAGCAGATGGCAGAGTTAGCAAACCAGAGTGCGATTACATAAACGGCAAGAACAGAAAAGAGTAGCTATGTTGAGATGTTTGATATCCGAATTGCCGGTTGCCGCTTGTCACCTCGGGTTCTAGCTATCAAATTACAAAGTTGTACCAAAATGATAACTTGATGGGGAAAAAAATATTAGCAGTTGCAGTCTTTCTCAATTTTGTTGATGCATTAAACTTGAACACGTTTGGGGATTTTTCTTCATACTAGAACTAGAAACGGGATTGGGGAATATGGTAAGGCTAAGGCTTCTATATCAAAAACTTGAAACAAAAATGTTGATTTATTTTTCATTTCACTCATGGTGATGGTGTACATTTACAACATAACGGGAAAAAAAATGAAAATACACATTATATCTCAAGGATATTTGACCTGTAACATTCTGGTTGTCTGAAAATAAGGCTTCGGCATTCTCGAAGAAGTCCCAGCCGCTGACTCAACGATATCCCGTAGCTCCTTTGCATGTTTAGTCATCCCAACGATAGAGTAAGACTTAATCATGGTTCTATATGTGATCTTATCAGGTTTACATCCTTTCTGCTTCACCATTTCAAGCACTCCCTTCATCTCTGCAAAGCATCCCATCCTGCCATAAGCATCCACCAGACAGTTGAAAAACACAATGTCCAACGTTACATCAGAATTCTCGACGAACCGTAAAACGCAGGCGAATTTTTCTGGTTTTCCAGCTTGACCATAAGCTCTTACCAGGGAGCAAAGGGTGACACAACTAGGTTTGATTCTTTCCGACCGCAATAGCCTAAACAATACTCCATCTGTTTCAAATCATCAGCCCTTCCAAAGGCATCTATCACCACATTGTACGTAACAATAGTCCATGAGTAATGGTATTTTTGCATATATTCCATCACAGCACTCATCTTTTCATAGTTTCAAATCGGCTAAATGTGTGAAAAAACGATGTAGAAAGTAAAATTAATGTTGTGTGATGTTTGAAATATTTAGGGATTTAAAAATATTTTAATAATATTTGTAAAAATTACAATTAAAATCAATTTTGATAAATTAACGGGATTAGTTCAAGTGGTAAGCAGCTTGATATTACTTAAGTAGGTTTCGAGTTTGAGTCTTGGTGTATGCAGAAAATTTGTTAGCAGATTTATCCACTAAAACCACATGTGCGGGACGGGTTGATCCGGATTAATCAAGACGAAGCGAGAGCAAAAAAAAATCAATTTTGATAAAGTTGTAGTAGCAATTGATAACTTTATTCTAATTTTTTATTTGTATTTTTAAGATTAAATTGAAAAAATAAATATAAAAAGTTATAAAAAAACTATAACAAAATATAATAATAAATATAGAAAAAGGCACTTAAAATTTATAAAAGAATTATTTTAATCCTCCGTATTTGTTTCTTTCTAGTTTGGCACAATGTCATCTTCTCTTTATAGTCCTTATGGTTCAATACCACCACCACCACCTATATATTTATTTGGTCTTGATAGATTTCTTTAACGATTAGAATACCTCTTTTCAAATTCAAAGGAGAAATTGTATTTTGTAATTTTACTTTTTATTGAATGATTTTAAATTATTTTCATGACATTCTTAATAAGAAAATAGAGAGAAAATCAGTTTAGAATAATAATCGATCTAATAAACTTCAGCTAGATTTGAGTTTAGAAAAAAAAATCTTTATAAATAAATAAAGATTAAATTAAACAAAGAAGATAATTATTTTATTAAAATCATAGAGATACTTACGATCATGAATGTGACATGCTTGTTCAATTAATGTTTTTTTATATATGTTAAAAAGAAAATAATTTAGATAACATTTTAAAATTGAAAGATACAATGAAAAAGTAGTTTAAATATTAATTTAATATAATACGTATAAATAATTATATCGTTAAAATATGTTGTTATTAAATAAAGAAATTAAATAAAAAATCGTCAAATACTATTAAAAAATATAATATCTATATTTTAGATAATAAAATATATTTTTTCACCCTCTTTATTGATGAAGGAAGTTGATGGAAAGCTGTAAAAGTTGGGAGACAACCTAATTTTAAAGTCGGAAAGACTCAATTGAAAATGTTAAATAAAATATAATATTTTTAGTTTAACGTAATCTAAAATATTAATTTTTTAATATTTTCGATTGAATAGAAATAACGTTTAAAGAGGCCCTATGGATATCGAGCGTTGTTTAATATCATCAAGCCCAAATAAGTAAAGGAGAGAATTCGGGCCGGAATAAGGACCCGTGGCTTCACTGATCTCACTGATTTTTAGGGTTAGGTTGTTATCCTCATTCTTTTACCAAAACCCTAATTTTTATCCCTATAAATATATAACCACCGTAGTATTCTTTCGTTGCAGCTTTGTTAGTATTACTGTGTCGTCCGCTGTCTTTGGTCTTCACGTCAGTTCTTCCTCTCTGAAGAATCTTTTTTTTTTTTCAATTTTCTGATGTTTTTGGGTTTTTTTTCTTCTGCTCTCATCGGAGAAGTTAATTGTAGGGAAGATCGCAGTGATGACCTCATAAAATTCAAGCTCAACAGACCGGAATGCAGGCTTCTCTTATTTGAGAACTTTGCGTGTCGATAACCCCGCTGAACTGAGCGATCTTTTTCTCTTTTCTGAATTTCATTTTTGAAAACGTGAAATTCGAGGTTGCGATGAGGATTCACAGCTCCCTCTTCCGATTAATGTTGAAGAAATCGGCTGGCAGAATCGAACCTATAACTTTATAGCCACTACTGAGCAATCTCTTGATTTTTACATGTTTTAGAAAATCTAAAGAATTTTCTCATCAATTTTTAAGAGCTTAATGTTTTTTTAGTGGATGCTGATGAGGGAAAGATTTTTATATAATCCAACACTTGATCTGAGATATTACATTATCGAGTGAGGTTTTATTCATTTTCTTCTGAATCTACTTTAAGTTATTCAATTGTTTAAATTTGACTGTTATGGTTTCAATTGCGCTTAAGAATTTTGCAGACTTGGGGAATCATCAAATGACGAAATTGGAAAAATCTTAGGACACCTTCCTACATAGCTTTAAAAGCTATGGATGAGAAGAACATTTCCTTTCTGATGATGATCCGTCTACGAATTAGTTTTTTACTTACAACATTATGTGAAATTTTAAGAACATAATTAAATTTCAAAAATAACTCTCGATGAGTCGAAGGGAGCAAACAAATGCGTATGTTATCCAAAACATCTGAATCTTTGAACAAATTCTCAGCATCCTGTCCGGATCTGTAAATAAATACAATTAACCATTGAATCTGTAAATTTGTATCAATTTCTAAAGTCTATTCAGTCATTTATTTTTTACATTTATTAAGATTCGTGCCTCCCTGCTATGGCCTCGGCTTTTGTTGGTTGCATCAATGACTTCTAGATCGCGGTTGATCGCCATTGCTGCTTTTCTGTTTAACAGAAATACGACTGAAGTGGATAGGGTCAGATACAATTACGTTACTAATATTTGCTGAACTTGCATCGGGTAAGAAATCAAAGAATTCTTACCGATGTTGAATAAACCCTCTTATAGCTACTGCTTTAACAGGCTTTTGAAAACTAAGATATGAGGTCATTCCAATTCTTAATTTAGAACTTTCTTCTTCTAAAAGCATTTGGGAAGAGTTACGTATCAAGCATGGAAAAATATTCTGGCACAAGATTGTCTGGTATCCCCTTCATATTCCCAAATTTAACATTATTACTTGGCTTGCAATCTTGGATCGTCTTCCTACTAGAGAAAGACTTACTCGTATGGGAATTACAAGCATTGGCTCTTGCATCTTATGCAATGCTGGCATTGAAACGAGGAATAATTTGTTTACTGAATGTCCTATGGTTGCTGCTATTTGGAATAGAATTCTAAATCTTTCTCTTTTGGATAAACCTCATATGTTTTGAGATTCTTTTCTTGTTTGGGCATCTTCGACTTGGAAAGGAAAATCTCTCCTTACAACCATATTGAAGATTGCATGGTGCTCATTCATTTACTACGTTTGGGAAGAAAGAAATAGACGTTTATTCCAAAGACGTGTTAGAACCATTGATGATTTGCTCTTTTCAATCAAAGAGATTGTTAGTGCTCAACTTAGGAATATAGATACTAATAGTCTTGATTTTGTTAATATGCAACTTATGACTAATTGGGGCATAAGATAATTTTATTTTGTTGTAATTAGTTTGTTTTTAATCCTTGTTTGGATTCTTTGTATTGTGACATTCTTTGATAATAAAATTTACTTATCCAAAAAAAAAATCAATATAAAGTGCTTAAGAAACCATCATTCCAACCTGAAATGGAAGTTCGGGGATAGATTGAGATAATTATTTTTTAAAATTTTTAAATTCTCATATAATTTATATATATTTTTTGTGTTCTTTTATTAGTATTATGTTTCGTCCTCTTAAAATGTATAAGTTCGTACTTTGATATAAAATATGCATCCGTCCTTGAATTATAATTAAGAACATGCAGAGGGTACATACACATTTATTTTTGCATTTGGTGTTGTCAGGTTATTGAAAGGAGAAATATCATCCCTAGGGTGACTTATACAATTACAAGCACCAAAGACTGGCTGGCATGTAGCCTCCTGGTTCAACTCTGAAACAAGATTGCACGGTCTAGAAGGAACTATATAGTTTACAATACATACATGGGCAGACCGTAATGAGGGCAGGGGGATTTTTGAATACATCAATTAGACCTCAATTTTTTTTTGAAAATTCTCATTGAATAAAATTTAAACTTGACCTCCAAAAAATTAAAATTTTATTTAGACCCCCAAACTGTCATTCCTCGCAACTTACTTGAGAGCTGAGACTTGAGATCTCATAGTGTTTTCAAGGTTTTGAAGCACAATTTTTGTGAAAATTATGACTTGAATAGCGCCTTTTGATGCCTCAGCCATATCGCGTAAGACCCTTCCTACCCCTGCCTTTTCAAGGAGACTTGAATGGTGCATCGTGTACCGTCCTCCGGGCAGGGTAAACTGCAGAGAGGAGAGGAATCTTAAGCTTTAGTAGCAATGCATTAATTTCTTCCAAAACGTAGTCATTTTTAATAAAGAGAAGAGGGAGAAAACATGAGCTTGCCTGCAAAAGAGCAAATGCAGAACAAGACTGTAGTATGGAACAAGAGTCTCCTAACATTCTGACAAATCTGTCAATCTCAGCTCCACTGAAGAGACATGCAAAAGGAAAGATAAATGAAACATATTAGAATACAGAGATGATTCTGAAGGTAAGAACTCTTAGATTTTTGTTTACCGAGTAAAGGATAGGAGGTATATTATGACTTGCGCAATCGGATTACACGGAGGTATATTATGACGTGTTTATGGATATGGCTTGGTTAAATATTAAACAGATTAAGAGAATATGCAATTTGCATAAACACTAGCAGTTACTTTTTTAAATTTTACTACCGAAACTAGAAATGAAATCAGCAGTTTCATCTTCAGAATATAATATAATAATGCCAGAAAACCGAACCTGCATCTTACATGCTCTGCATCTGGTATTCTTATGGCTTCTGCTATCTGTGCCAAAGCTGTGGGGACTAATGTTGCAGCAACAGCAGCATTAAAGGCTTTTGGATTAAAAGATGATATCACGAATTCTTCAACATGTTTCAAGGCCAGCCTTCCAACCTCATCTATGTTCTTCATCTTCAAACTGCCCAGTGATGAAGGTGAAGACCCCACTGGTACAGCTGCATCTACTCTGTAAATCGAGAAACCAAAATTTACACCTCTAAAGTAAATTTTAAAACCAATGCCATTTCACTACCCACAAATGAATGTGACTTCATATTAGTGTTTGCCAATTCATGATAACTTCCAGAAAATAGTTATACATACATCCCATCAAACATGTAAACCAAGGCCAATGCAGCCATAAAACGTGCCATTTTTGAGTTCGATGAAGAGCATAGATGAACAAGGGGTTGAACTCCATCATCTTGTATTATACGAAGAGCATTATCACGGTAAAATGCCAAATTCCAGAGTGCTCCAGCAGCGAGCAAATGGATATCCTGAAAGAAAAAAAAAATGTACTAAGAACTCAATAGGCAGTTAAGTTAGACAACTTAAGAATGATCGGTCCAGATGAATGATTCAATGAATGTTGCACTTCGTTATCATAGATGCATTATTAACACATCTACAGTGACAGGAATCAGTATACTTATTTTCTACTAAAGGTCTGGGCTTAAGGATTGCACAGAGATTTCATATTCATTTATGCCGAATAAAAGAGATGGAATTTGTAACATAAAGTTGACAGACAAAGTATTCACAGAAGGCTTACAATATGCAAAGAACATCTTGAACCGGTTTTGATAATAACGACTCATTTGAGCGAGTTGAATGAAAAACTTACTTCGACATCTGAGCGTGCCAATACAATTAGTGGAGCTATACCACCTTGTCTTCCAATAGCAATTCTGCACTAATATAAAATACATCAATATGTATCATAAAGTGCAAGGAGATATGTATATATACCAAAAAGACCATTGAGACATGGAACACTGAAGATGAAATAAGAACAGACCTTAAGGTTTATACACAAATACTAAATAGCATAAACAAGGCCATCATCACTTCAATTAGGTTAAATGGAAATATCTTGATATAATGTTACATAGTAACAAAGCAAAGGCAAACTTATTTCACCTAAGAACTTGTTCTACATATATTATTGCATGCTTTAAATAGTGAACAATTACGGCAAAGAAGTTTCCATTTCCTACTACAATTATGCATGCTTTAAATAGTGAACAATTACACCTGTTAGTTTCTGACAGTAACAATGCCCAAAGAGCACCTGCAGCTCTTTCTTGAAGACTTTTGGAAGCACTTATGCTAGATCGAGCCAGGGCAACCTAATCATGCAAAATCAGAATAAAATTTTAAAACCTGAAAGATAGCTGATAGATAATAATGTCTTTTTCAAAGCAGCAACTGAAGGGTTATCAGTTAAAGCCAAAAGAATCATAAACTTTGTTCTTGTTCAGAGTTTGTATAGGAGGCAGTTGTTAACACTAACGGATTCATCAATATAAATTGCTCTCACAATATCAAACAAAATAATCCCAAGGAATTCTTTGTTCTTCCAATTCCGATATCAGACAATTATCTTCACTGATTTTTACATAGTTTTAGTTGATATATAGAAGAATCCTTCAAGAACCCCTCAATTCACACCAAAATTTCCTCACGGGAGCTGAAAATAACAATATTGGGTCATATTCTTAGTATTACAGTAATTGAAACTGCAAGCTGCATAGAAAGTACTGAGGGAATAGTTATAACCAGGGATATGATCATACGAAGACAAGGCTAAGAAACATGATAGAACAATTTTATAGTTCAACAAATAATGCAAAATTTGAGATAATGGCATATTTGATCCATCAGAGGTAAAACTCAAAAATAAGTGTACCAGTGCCTCAATACCACCAACAGCTGAAATCACTTCTCGATTTTTTTCATCAAATGACAAATTCCACAAAGCCGTAGCCACTTGCTGCCTGCTTTTCATCAGATATGAAAAAAATAAAATGGCAGTTCAAAGGATGGGCTTATACATTTGGACAAAGCTCAAACCAATTACAGAGTTGGGAACATTTGATATGACACTGTAAGATTTGGTAGGGGTATTATTTTCAACACTTGTTAATTTTTAGGCACTCACATGACTTGTTTTCAGCAAAGGGAAAGAAAACCTTTTACTGATTTTGAAGAGGTCTTTTGTTCTACTAGAGTTTTACTCATCCTTCTATTTTCAAGTTCAAATGTGTAGTAATTATCCTTGTTTTAGTACACTAAATAACCAATTGATGCATAAATAATATAATAAATGCATGAAACATGTAAGATTAATTGCAATATCAAGTAAAATAGATTACCTTACACCTTCATTTTGAGAATAAGTAAGTTGTACTAATGATTCCAATGCGCCTTCCTCTTGCCCAATGGCAGCAGAATTGCTGTCACAATCCCCATAGGCAGCCAAATTACTCAACGCACGAGCAGCCTAGAAAAGAGGATAGAATCTTATTTCACCAGAAAAGTTATAGACCGTCTGCTAAAACATTGTGTGTATACAAATGAAAAATTCAACCAGGCTCCTTCAAGAATGAATACTTGATTTACAATGAAAATTGAAACTAACTAAATAAAGTTCAGGACCAAGTCTTCAACATGCAAAGAATCCTTACATCACACATGTTCTACTATTAAATCTCATAGTTCTCAGTAATGCAGATCCATATCCTTCTCAAAAGGGCTTCTAATATATCTATTTATTATCCTAGAAAAAGTATATTGATCAATAATATGGTAACAAAAACAAAAACCATCCTCACCGTCAAAATGATTATCGACATTTCTCAATGTAAACAGAAAGGAAACCCGAAATACCTGCTCTTGCACGCCTTCAAATTTGCAAGCCCGAGCAAGCATCACCAAAGCATGGATACCACCAGCCAAAGCCACCTCCCTGCTGCATTTCTCATCAGTTGCCAAATTTGCCAGTGCTCCAGTTGCACGTTGCTATCATTCAGAAAAGGCTCACAATTTATCTCTAATAAGGTTACAAATATCTGTCGGAAGGAACAGTTAAAAGATACATACAATAAGTAAATCATGGCCGGAAGGCCATTTGAGTATAAGGTCAACTAAAGCCGTTACACCACCTGCCTCTGCAATAGCACCCTGAAAAGAAACTGTGTTGAGCAAAGATTGCTATTTGTAAGATAATCTCAATAAAGTTGTTCAGTTTTCCCAACCTTAAGCTCAACCACTACAGAAAGATCCCACAGCGCTCGAGCAGCCTCTTCCGCCACTAATCTGTTCTTTGATCTAGCTAAACCAGTAAGAACATTGATTCCTCCACTATCAGCAACAACTTTTGCAACTTTTGAGTCTACGGACAAGTTTGCTATAGCCTGCATCCAAACAATAAAATAGGCGAGCATGCGGTTTTCAAGCAAACCATCGAAGAGCATAATTTTTAAAATGATATTTTGAAGTTTTAACACCTAATTTCAATCCTTATGACTTCTAAAACTGCTTATATTTTGTGAAATTATAAAGATTTTTTTTTCTTTTTTGCATTCAGCCAATTCTCATAACAGAGGCAACACATACTTTAACCACTTTAGACTGAAGGCTTTCCTGGCAAGATCTTGCAAGGTTCAAAAGCATTCGTACACCATCTCCTCGTAAAATTGCCTCAGCTCTCTGGCAGTCAATAGTAGCATTTTTATTATGAATGACTAGAAAGATTGCAACAGCAGTAGCTGCTCTTTCTTGAACTTCCTCCTGTGAACTCTGCAGTAAACTGAGCAATACAGCTGCCCCTTGATTGAGCCAAAAATCATCGAACTTTTTCAGATTGTTTTTTGCAATACAGAAAAGTGAATGTGAAATGGTCCGTTCAATCCAAACAACAATCTCATCCAAGTTTTTATCTTCATTCTTTATTTTCTTCCAATGCCGAAACACATCAATAACATTTTCTAAATTGTCAGCAAACAATGATGCTACTCCCTTGAGAATGTCACTAAACAAAGTAAGCAATATTCTGCCTGTGTGATTATGCATTTTGTTTCTGTCAACTTCATCTTCAAAACTTGGACAGTTCAAGGCGGTCAATACTTTCAAATTTTGGGACGATGAAAATAAACTTGTTGCAACACTAGGATTTACATCAGTTCTTGAAACATCTAAACCTACCAAGTTAGGTAATTTACTCCAAACTTGTGCTGCAGATCCCCATTTTAGGTTTCTAGTCCCAGCAACAGAGAGAAATTTAAGGGAGCTCAAGTTTCCAAGAGCCACTTCATCAATGTTGTTGGATTCCAGAAACCCGATATCCATTAACTGCCTACAATGCTTAGCCAAAGCATTTATGGCATCTCCATTAGCTTCCCTAACACCTGACATCCAAAGCCTCTTCAATCTTGGGCAGCAATATGCAAGTACTTTGATTGCCTCGCTGCTGATCTGCTCACAATGATCTGGGCCAAGTTGGATGCTCTCAAGCATCTCATGTCTTGCTGCTATCACAGAAAGTGCAACATCAGTAATGTCACGACAAAGATCACAACTTATTTCTTGAAGTTCCCTTGCTTGAAGAGTAATTATTGCATCTGCCGAGTCGGCTGCACGAAGTTTAAGCCTCCGGAGATTCTTGCATCGAGAGGAGAGTGAGACTGCAGCTGCAGTGTCGAATTTGTAAGAACGGAGGTCCAATGACCCCCATAAACAGGGAAAAGAACCTAAGAGCCTAAATGTTCGACAAGTTGATGCCAAGCTAGCTCGATCTCGATAATTTAAATAAGAAAAGAGTTGAGTAACCGTGTCATCGGGCAAGGTTGTCCAATCAACTCCACAAATTGTATCTGAGTTCAAACATCCACTACAAAGGGTCTCTGAACTAATGTTTCTCTGATAATTTTCCTCACCATGTGAACAATTTTGCCTCACTCTTTGACTCATATCCTACAAGTTTTGGAGCACTGCAAGCAGAAATAACATGACAAAAACACAGTGTTCACTCAAGGAAAAAACACAAGTAATCATTCAATTGAAAAAACCATGCACAAATTTCAAAACTACGGACGCGGGACGCATTCAAGTAACATATTACAATCCCATTTTCCCAAGAACTATAAAATAAACATTGAACATGATGATCAATCTTGAGTTCCAGTAAAACAGATAAAATATCTGATCAAACAAATTCATTTTTCCACTTCAAAACTAGAAAATCCCATTAATAAAAAGTGTCGAATTTAATAAACATTTAATCAAACAAGAATCATTTCGACAATTCCCACACACCCGGAATATCAATTCTCCAAAAACTCAACCCAGTTCAGAAATTGAAAAAAAAAAGTAGTCAAAGTTTAACCTAAAGAATCAATGAATACCTTTGAGATAGCAGAGATTGGTGCGAAGGAAAATACGTTGAAACCAAGGAGGATCTTAATATATATAGAGCCATCCCCTTCGGCTTTTAAAATTTAGAAACAAGTACAACAGTTAAAGACAAGAGAAAAATCGTTGCGTCCGTCACTACGTTTTTCCATTTACGGTCAAACAAGAAAGCAATGGTGGTTTTCATTCTACTTTCCAAGAATTTGTTTCTTCGATTCTCCTTTTTAACAGTACTGGTAATAGTTATGTACTTATGTGATCTTTTTACTCTAATTTAGTGTCACTGCTAAGTATAATCTGTGTTAAAGGTTAAACAGATTATTTCTTATCAAATATGCGTATCGATTATTGTGTTTTTTATATAAAACTTGCGATAATTGGTTTTCTGGTAAATGAGATGAACAAAGAGATCAAATAAATCAAAAATTGAATTCAACCGAATTATATTTGATGATGCAAATGATTTAACAGATTCAATCGAACGAACTGAACAGATCTATGTTAGTTTGGGGTAATCTCAGATTAAGTTTTTTGTTCTATACATGATTAGATATCAGTAATCTCATACATGATTATGAGGGTTGTAGAAGAGGTTTTGACAAGGATGAATCAGCTATTCATGTTATTGTAGCATCTTTTATCCTCAAGAGATCGGCCAAGCATTGTACATGTCCTTTTACTCGAGCGTTAGTGGAGTTCACTGTTTGTGAATAATAAGGATAAACTACACGTTTGGTAGTTACAAGAATATACAATTTTCAGGAGAAGACGACTGCATCGGTCGTCCATCTCTGGTATGAACATAGAGTTTGTTCCGAAGAGAAACGCCGATAGATTCTCATTGACTTCCTTTTGGTGTTTCGAAGATGGAAAGATGATTTTTGCACCTAAACAGGGTAGCATGTTAATCGTTAAACCTTGTCTAGGTTCGAACAAAAACGTCTTAACAATCATAACCATAAACACAGTGCTTAAAAGATGTCTTAATATTCATATAATCCAGCAACCTATTAAACCGAAACTTAATCCGTCATGTCGCCAAATGGAGATTCAATGGGTTCGAGCTCGAGCCACACCCACGATAAACAGGACTAAAACAGACAACACCATTGAGATCCTCAGCTTTGCATCAAACGTGTCTGCTGTTCCCTTCTCTTCACTCGGAGGCGGCAGCTTAAACAACCCAGAGAAGAGCTTTGTGATTTTATCAAATACCTCCAGGATTTTTCCTTTAGTGCTGTTGAAAATCCACTTCACTATGTTTATGTTTGTTGTCTCGCTCGATTCGTTGGAATTCTCAGCCGAACTCTCATCGAAACTCGGTGAACTACTACTGTCTTCAGCAGCTATGATCATAAGAAAAAAGTGCATTGTGAATATATATACTTGATCACATAAGTCTAATTACATATATTCATCCAATTCAGACCAACCTGCACAATATGACTTTCTCAGTTCCCTCACCACCTCATTGTTCAAAACAGCATTCCAAATTGCTTCATCAGAAGATATCGACATAACCATCTTCTGCAAAACACACAAGCATCGACTGTTTAGGTCAACTCTAAACATAAACCCTATAATACTCATATAGCAGCAAAAGAAAAAAAGACCTGAATCAAGGAATCTGTTTGCATTAAATGCAAAGCATCATAAACGCTGTTTTGATAAACTTGTGTGTCATGGAGTTGCATCGAAGGCTCTATCCATTCCGACTCAGACCCGGTAGAACGAATCCGGTTAACTGAGATAATATCCGAGCTTGGAGAGTGATAACCTGTTTCCTCATGAACATTATAAGGAAACTTATCCCTGATAAGTTCTCTCGACGAGCCTACACCGACGACCCTATACAAAAGAAATTCAACGACGGCAAAAGTCTAGTTTGTACCATAATTACAAATCAAACTTTTTAACTGAAAACATCATCCACATTATAATATGCTTCGCTATTCTATAGCTAACACGTAATGACATTTAAAAAAACAAAACAACAACATCAACTTAGTTGATTAAACAACGTTAATAGCAACCTTTTGTTCTAATAAAATATTTCATTTTCCAATCATTCGTTTTCTTTATCTTTTCTGTAAATAAAAACATGCCTGTAAACTTGTATATGCTGTTGACTTCCCCCGTCACTATCAAATACCGTCAACACATCGTCACATTAGAATCAGAGAAGAAAAAGTTAAATTATGGTATAATTCCTATTAAAAACAAAATCACAATAAGATATGGTTTAAAATCGTAACATTATGCCGTAATAGTAATGTATTGCGTCGTAATATTATAATAGACCTCTAAATGATCAAAATAAAACTCCATTAATGAAAGCACAAAAAGAGTATATGAATGCACAGCTTATGTAATAGACACCGCAGCCACAATTTAATACTTCAACAGTAATGCAAATCAAAACGAAAATGGCAGTAGTAACACAAAGAAAAGGACCAACAATTCCATCATTCTAACATATACAGAAATGGGTAAATCGAACAATATTTTTTTTCATTTCAGCTCAATTAAACCGGCAATAAATGAATAAAAAATGACCTTTGAAGAGCAGAGAGAGCATTTTCGACTTCAGCAACACAGGGAACAGGTCCCAAAACAAAATCATGTGGCTGCTTATTATTCTCCTCCTCAGTGGCATCCACAGACACCCACTCAAAGTCATCAAAACAAGGAGGACCCGAGAAGGCAGGCCAGTCATTGGCAGTGATGGGGACACCACCATTGAAACTGTTACAAGAACCCAAGGAAGAACTCCCAGAAGAAGACGAAGAAGGAAGGTAAAGATGACCATTGCTATTGTTATTATTATGTCTACGAGTAGCAGAACTTGTGGAAGAAGAAAGGGGTTCTTGGAAAGATGCAGTGGAGGCCCTGGAAACTGCTGCTCTTCCGACTGCTCTCAACATGTTGGCTCCTCCTGGACCGCCGCCCATGCCTTTGCCGCCTCGACCAAACATATATGTGTTGCAGTTTATTTTGTGACAGTTGTTATCCTTTGAAACTGAAAACCAGTCCAAAGGAAATAAATATATCTTTTTGGATTCCCTCTATCTTGGCACTGAGCTTAACCGACCGACCTGCAGATTGTATAAGACTAGTAGAATTTTGAGTCTGCAAACTCTTTTGGGCTGGTTTGAAGCTTAAGGGATAAAGTTTGGACAAAACAAGATATGGCTTCAGATTTTGTTTTTGAAAATGCCTAATACCTGAGTGTATAAATTATATCATTTTTTAATGAATATAAGTATACGCTATTTTATTAACCATTCAGTGTCTAATGTTATAAATGTGATCACTTTAGGAACTTAAAACGTAACGATCGTTAGCTTTTTCCGTTACGTCACAATATGATAATTTTAATTTTTTTTTAAAAAAATATATTATTATATTTATATAAAAAATTAATTTCTTTTAAATTACAAAAAAGCTTCAAAATCCCTAAAATCCTCAAATCCTAACACTAACTCGTCACCATTGTCTTTTCTAGCCACAACCATCGACACCTACATAGTCTCTGTCATCATTCTAGTTATATGTCGTCGTAGTTGTCATTGATTGATTATCTGAATAGCAATTTTCATCCTAGAGTTTGCGAGGTTTAAAACATCGATTTACCGTCAATGGATCGTCGATCGACCACAATTTCATAGGGGTTTTGGTCATCGAGGGAGGTGAGGTCGGGTGGAACTTCGTCGATGGCAAAGGGCGATGGTTGGCGTGTATTTAGGTGTTGAAATGAAGATTTTCAAAGTTTTGAGATTATTTTAAAATTTATGTGTCTTCTTTCTAAAAGTATATGTAATTTTATTTTTTAAATTTTATATAAAATTTTTAAAATTATCAGATTGTGACATGTGTCACTTAACAGAGTAAATTAACCCGTTGAATGTCCGACACTTAAAATGGTAACGTTTGTAATGTTAGACATCTTAATGATCCAAAAAATACTGTAAACACTTATTCAATAAAAAGAGTATAATTTGGGCACTTTCAGGGTCGGGACTTTATATAATATAATATAATTATATGTTTCATTTAAATATAGGGTAAAATACACAAATAGTCATTCGACTATATGGTGATGTTTTATTAAGTTTCTCGACTATTAAAAGTTACAAAATGGTTCTTCGACTGTAGGAGGTTGTTTTGTTGAGTCTCCCGACTATTAAAAGTTACAAAATGATCAATCGATTATTTAGTCTGTTTTAAACTCGTCATTTTTTCATTAAAAATTTGATAATAATTTAAGTTGGATGTTGAATGAGATATGATATTTTTTTTAGATTATGGAATTAGACATATTTTAATTTAATGATCATACTTTAATTTATTATTTTTTTGTGCAGTCATATTATTACATACGACGATGGATGACAACATGAAGATTTTTAAACGACTCAAATTTGATTAGATATTATAACAATAAAATTTAACATCGATCTATTTTGAGTTTTAAAATATTTTATCCATTTTATATAATTTTTAATTTAATTATAAAAATTTTAAATAACGACTTGGTTAAAAATTAATTTTAATATTTATTAAATCATAAAAGTTTACATAAAATTTTTATTATTATAATATTTTATTTATAAATGAAAGAATTTTACATTGTGTTAGTAGGTGTGTGTATGTAAAGAAAAACTTGGATTGGCCCAAATATTTAAAATCCAAGTTGGATTCTGTGGACGTTAGTATTGTTTTTATATGTATAAACAGATTCCATTTGGACTCCGTTTCAATAAGCCCACTTTAACCGAACCCAGAAAGAGGGTAAAATTGTGAACTCAAATTACACCATGCCTTAAAACCCTAGTGATCATATTTATAGATCCTACGTTTGAAAATTCCTCATCCATAACCAGAAGCCGCAGGGAGTTCAAGCAGTCATGGGTACGCCATTTTTTAGCTTTGTTTTCCATATCTATTGTTCTTCATTGATTAAGTCGGAAACTTTTCGAAGTTTTTTGTTTTGTTGATCGGTAATTTTAGTTTCTCAGCTTTGTTTTTGTTTTGTTACGTGTTCTAGATTCACGGGATAGATGCTAAATAGTAGAAATGGGCTTCTGATTGATTGGATGTTCTCTAAAATGAAAAGGATTTTATTTAATTGCTATATATATAAGTTTGATTTGGAGCTTTGAGTTATGTATTTTTGATTATTTTATATTTGTTGTGATTTTGTGAATCAAGGGGCTTACAAGTATGTGTCAGAGCTATGGAGGAAGAAGCAATCCGATGTGATGAGGTTCTTGCAGAGGGTCAGGTGCTGGGAATACCGTCAGCACCCTTCCATTGTGCGAGTTAACCACCCGACTCGCCCCGACAAGGCTCGTCGCTTGGGATACAAAGCCAAGCAGGTAAACTGATTCGTTGTTTCTTTAATCTTCCTTCTGCCACTGCATTTTTGTGAGGCTTAGTTTCCGATCTTGTAAAATTTGGTATATTTATGCTTGCCATCATTTGTTTAAACTTTCTTTGCCTGTTTGTTATGTCTGGTGAGTAAATCTGCTTCTTAATAGGGTTATGTTGTTTATCGGGTCCGTGTGAGACGCGGTGGAAGGAAGAGACCGGTACCCAAAGGTATTGTATATGGGAAGCCCACAAACCAGGGTGTGACCCAGCTGAAATTCCAGCGCAGCAAGCGATCAGTTGCGGAAGAACGAGCTGGTCGAAAGCTTGGTGGCCTTAGGGTTGTAAATTCATATTGGATCAATGAGGTGAGCTCCACTAGAAATAATGCCCCTCCTTTTAGCCAAAGATTTCATGAACTGTGACTTATCATCTTATTCTCCAACCGAGGAATAGATTAACACCATTATCATGTATGGAAATTGTGGCCAACTCTTATTTTAGTTTGGTCTTTAACGCTTTTACAGGATTCAACTTACAAATACTTTGAGGTCATCTTGGTTGATCCCGCCCACAATGCTATCCGCAACGACCCGAGAATCAACTGGATCTGTAATCCGGTGCACAAGCACAGGGAACTCCGTGGACTCACCTCTGCTGGCAAGAAATACAGGGGTCTCCGTGGCAAGGGACACTTGCATCACAAGGCCCGACCTTCAAGAGGGGCAAACTGGAAGAGCAACAACACACTCTCTCTTCGCCGCTATCGTTGATTCCTCTGGAATGTATTGCCCATTTTTGTTACACGTTATTACCTTTGTTTATTTTGTGAGAATGAGAAGTAAGACTGATAGTATATTTGTGTTTTAGACATATTGAAATCCTTATGATGAGGCTATTGAGATCTGTGGAGGAAAAAAACTTTATAATTTGTGTAATGCACTGGTTAAACTTAGGGGTGTAAATGAATAGTGCATTCGGTGAATTGTTCGTATAACGTTTGTTTGTTAAGTTAAATAAATAAGTATGAATAATTTTTTTTTAATTTAATAAATTTATGAACACGAATAGAGGTATGTTCGATTTGTTTATATTTATAAATAAATTTGTTTATGAGTTTGTTTATCAACTCATTCATTTATGTTAATGAATAAGTTTGTTTGTCCGGTTGTCCTTTTCTTTTTTCTTTTTTACATTTTAAATATGTGTGAAGGTAGGGATTAAATTTAAACACATGAAAAAATTTAAAATTTAAACTGTGAATTTTGAGGAGTTTAAGCGTTAGTGACATAATTGTACCATTTTTCTTTAGTTTACAAATGAAGGGTAAAACTAAAAATTTAACATATACACGAATGCTAAACGAACATGTTTATGAACACTAAATGAACATTTTCGTGAACATTAAATGAATATGTTAGTTAATAATAAATAAACGAACATAAATACCTTTAAAATAAATAAACGAACACAAACATATTTTACCTACAAAAATTTTAAAAATTTAAATTAGCACTGTAACACTCCAATTTAAGAGTTATGTTTCTTATAGATTAAATATGAAGTTGGTTGGAAAATAATTGTTTTATTAGACCATTATTTATTTAAACAAATGGAGGATAATGAATTAGGTAAAAGTGGACAACTTATTGAGTGTGATGTAATTAAATTATGATAATGGCATTTTTTGGAATCCATTGTTTCCAACTTTCACTTTCGGTTTGTATCCAAAGCCTGAAATTAGTTTAAAAAAAATCATATCATATCTATTATCCTTTACCATATCAGATATGAATGACGAGTGTTCACTGTTGCAAAGCGTGTGAACACCTGTGCAAAGTGCAAAAGCAATCCACACCCAACATTTTCTATATCTCTCTTTCTCGGCTATTCTTGGAAAAGAAAGTAACTCCTCTGGGTCGTTTTCTTTGGTTTCTCACATGGCTTCACTTCTTGAAAAAAATTGGCTGGGAGAACCATACTATAAGCGACTGCAGTGAGATAGAAGCTGATCTAGAACGTGATGAATTCATGGAATCATATTGTGAGGTTATTTATAGATGCAAAGAGGAACTCTCTAAGCCGTTCGATGAAGCTAAAATGTTCTTGACCAACATCAAGTCAAGGCTAAGTGATCTCTGCAAAGGAACATTGATAAAATCCTTGGATTATCTATCTGCTCGACGATTTGGCCCTCTCATGTCGCTCCACTTCAGCAATGTCCCAATACACGTCGTGTCCTCCGCCGATGCTGTCCGTGAGATCACCAAAACTCATGATCTCATATTCGTAAACAGACCCAAACACGTCTTCTTTCAGATACTTCTCTACGACTACAAAGACGTCGTGTCCTCACGTTACGGCGAGTATTGGAGGCAGATGAGAATTATATGTGTACTGAATCTTCTAAGTAACTAAAGGGTTAAATCTTATCTGGCTATAAGAGAAGAAGAAACTGCTCTAGCAGTGAAGAACGTTCAAAAGTCTAGCTCTTCCGGCTTACTAGTGTCTAAGCGAGCTCTTTTTAATGACTATGAACAACGTTATCTGCAGAATATATTTGGGAAGAAAGTACAGTGAAGATACGAGCAAGTTCAAGAAGATTTTGAGAGAGTTACAGAGTTGTTGGGTATGTCGGATGTGGGGGATTATCTTCCATGGCTTGCATGGGTAAGCCATGTCAATGGATTCAATGCTAAAGCCAAGAAAGTGGCCAAGGAGTTCGATGAATTTCTTGATGAAGTGATTGATGAACACGTGAATCACCATAACAAACAAGTAAATGATTTTATAGGGATTCAAGGTAAAGATCAAAAAGATTTTCGTGGATGTTCTGCTGGAGATTCAAAGGCAAAATCACGTGGGAGCTAGTTAAAAAAATAAGGGAAAATCGCAAGCTCAGTCCTTTGATATTGGTGAGAACTTAACCTTGTTCATAAGTGTTTACATAATTTTATCTTTAGTTAAATAGTTTAAATTTATTAGATTTAGTCCCTGATTTTAGTAAATTAAATAGTATAGTGGTCCACAAGATTTTAGTTTTAGCAATTGGCCATTAAATTACCATTTAATTTCTAATAAGTTATTTTTATGGCGAAGGAAATTATTTTGGATTTGAGTTTGTATATTTGAAGGTTCAGGTTTTTTAGAAAAAGATTAGAAACTAGAAATTGAGTTGGTAAGCTGTTTTTCACTGATTAATCACCCGATTCGATTCTTTTTCAGAATTAAGCCTCGTTTTGATGTAATTTTTGTTAATATTTATCTGAGGAAGGAAGTTGATTTCAAGATTGAGGGCGTTCGAATGGAATTTTTATGGTCGATCAATATTGCACGGAAATCGAGATAATACTTTACTACCTCTTTATGCTTTATGGAATATGTTATTGGTAAATGCATGAATAAGATAATGTTGGCCACTTTTGTGGAGTTGATTAATTTATACACTCGATATGAATGCAGTAGAAATTCGGTAATTGAATACGGATCGAATGACTAATATAAGAAATTGGAGGACAATTGGAATTAAACTACAAGCTTTGTGATTGATAAATGAATCAGTCTGGTTATGTAAATTATAATTTATTTCATCAAAGGTATTTGGATTGGAAATTATGAGAATATTCCGATAGGGTAAAATTATGAAAATACCCTTATGTTGTAAGATGACAAGAATTATCCCTGGAAGTTGACTAATAACTTTGAAATGATATATTGATCTGAGAAAACTACAGATGTGCATAAGAAATGTTAGTTTTACTTGGAAATTTGGATAACCGGGTTTTAACCCAATAAGGTTTATGCAAGATATTAGAAGTTTGTTAAGGAATCATTTCGAGATCAAAGAATATTCGAGAAAGCAATTAACCATTGGATCTCTAAAGTATAATTATTTTCGTTAAGAGTTAATACCGAAATTATATGGTTAATAAATTACGAAAATGCCCTTGAAAGGTAAAAATAGTCCAAGTTGACTATGAATGAGATAGTAACATGAGAATTTATTCTTAAACCAATAAATTACTGATTTAATGGTTGAAATCCTACTTTTGTATGGAAAATTCCTAATAATTCGTTAGTAATGTCTAAAAAGACTTTTAACCTGGAAAACTCCGAGTTAAGAATAAATTATCGAGGGTGCTCTTTTGTCAGAATTGTTCGAAGTGATTAGAAAAGATGATACGTTGGAATTAAATAATAAGATCAGATGGATGAAAAGGATTGAAATACATCAGATCTGTCAGAATAGTTCGATGGGACTAACATAAATGATAAGTTTGAATTTAATAATAAGATCGGACGGAATGAATTATTAGACTACAATGGATCTGTAAAATGACCAGAATACCCTTGGAATGCAAATGACCAAGAATATTACCAAGCTCAGGAATGATTAGGTATCCTCAAGCTTTGAAATGAATGGAAAAAAACATTGAGCAACAAAATGACCAAAATGCCCTTATGATCTATACTAAGTAAATGAATTGGATTCATTAAAGAATCTAAATAGACATGGATGTTGCATTGCCTTTAAAAGTTATGGAACACAATTTAAGTCGGTCGACCAACGCTAATGATATGTCAGTACCTGAATGACATAAATACCACTTGAATGTTTGTCGTCTACTCAAATTTGGATAGATGATAATTATGGAAGTACTCAGCTCGGCTCAACGGTAGAGCACATTCGATATTAAGAAGTTGATATTCGTGAGATAAATCAACCACAAATACAAAATAATGATTTTAGTAAATGACCAAAGTGAATTAAACAGAAGTACAATATGTATCCTAAATGCAGAAGCATATGAATTACTCGGAAAGACTCTGAAGTAAATGAGATATGATTTGACTACTAAATGAACCAAGTAACTTTAATGACTAAGAATTTAGTAAGTGATTGGATAAGTCTGAGAACTCCAATGATATTGCATGATATATGATTACTATGGATTATGAACCAAGAATTAAATACATTGACAATTCGTGATATTGTTTCCATATGGATAAAAATAAAGATTATTTGGATCCTCTATTGCTTCCTTTAGATGTAATCATCTATAGACAAGAATTGTTGGTATTAAAGTGTGAATACTTTGGAAGGGCAATGAATTGACCAGTTGATATACATCAGTTTTGGGAGTTGTTGATAGTCCGATCGACTGACATGGATGGTAGTGCCCTGAATCTCGTTTCTCCTTTATCAACTCAAATTACTCTGGTCATACCTGAACACTTTCTCGAGGTATATGAATAATAGTGGGATTCGAAAGTATCAACCTAAAATGTCTGATTAGATCGATTATTAATCGATTCTCTTCAATATGACCTCATTCATGGAATCCGATCAAATTGCATAAGTTTTGTGTTATCCATTCTGATAACTACAATGGCCTCTGAAAATACTTGGATCCTCTAGTGTGTTCCCTATGTACTATTAATTGTTTTATCTGTTTTGAAATATGGTACACTGAAATCTATGGTTTACTGCTTATTGATACACCGACTTACTGGTGACAGTTTATAGACTATGACTAATATATGATTATTGGTTTTCACTGATATATGATAATGATGATTACGGATTTATGGAAATTATGCTTACTGCATAAATTGTATTTTGAAATACTGATTTTGGATGGATTGAATTACGGAGTATAGCTCTGATCAAGTTGGTAAACCTTATGGACCTAGTGTGACTCTTGGGTAGGCTCACGAGCCCCAAGATGATCCATTAGGTTGGCTCCCTTTGCTGTGTGCTTAGGGTAAGCCCTATGGACTTACGGACTTAAGGGTACAGGCCCCGAAGCCTATCCTTAGGTTGGCTCCCTTTGCTGTGTGCTTAGGGTAAGCCCTATGGACTTACGGACTTA